TGTAAATAGCAGTGAGCTTCTTTCTTCAGGGAGTTTGGGAAAAATCCCTACAGGCATCAGAAAGTGCTAGTCTCCAATTTAGGCTTAACTGTCTTTGTCAAGCATCAGATTAGTTAAACAGGTTCCGCAGACTTTCTTAAGACTTTTCTTTACTTTCACGTAGTTCCCTTGTTTGACATACTCATGAAGCTGAGCTTCCAAGGAGTCATTTCTTAAGGTACCAAGCTGAACAGGACAAGGGAATGGAAGATGAACAGCCCGGGACATCCTTGATAATAAGTTATGAAGTAGCTGTTACTTAATATTTACCACACAACATAAAAACGCAGAACTTTTCTAAATTCTCCAAGTTACTTACACACAATAAACCTCCCAAAATTAGTCTATCATTCAACAATCAAAAAGCCAGGGGAGAGCGCGAACGCAGTCCCCCACTACCACAAATTATGTAGTCGAGTTTCCCACATTTGGGGAAATCGCAGGGGTCAGCACATCCGGAGTGCAATGCATAAGCCTCGCCCTGGGAAAACCACCTTCATGATCATGGTATCTCCCCTGCCAGGTAAGTATCCTCTTTGTTCTTAATAGAAGCTTTTATCAGGTTAACCAGAGTCCATGAAGCTGGCATTTGGATAGCGAGTTAGTGAGACTAACTTTTGTAACACAGTAGTTGCTGATCAAATCCTGTAACAGAAAAGACCCAACCTAAGCTGATTCTCACATTTGAAACCACAGAGAGAGAGAGAGAAGAGAGAGAGAGAAAGAGACAGAGAGAGAGACAGAGAGAGAGGAAGAGGTGCTTTGGGCATATTTGGGGTGAGGGTTTTTTTAACTTTCCAGCCGGAGATGTCTGTACTGCATTTTAGCAGCATTTTATGTCATGAAATGCAAATGACTGGAAACAGTGAGATCTGTACAAATGAATTTTACTTCCTTTGGCCTCCTTAGCCATAAGGAATCTTACTTATTTCAGTGTTTTACATTAGCTTTTTAGTGTTGAAGATTTGGGGTTGGGAGCTGGGGTTTTATTTGTTTGGGGGTTTTCTGGCTATACTGGGGTTTGAACCAAAAGCCTTGAGTGCAAGTTAGGCGAGGAGGTCTTTGCCCCTGGTCCATGCCTCTAGCTATTTACTGTAGCTTGTTTTTCAGTAGGGTCTTGCACCCTTGCCTAGGTAGTCTAGACCTCACCCCTCCTACCTCAGCCTTCTAAGTAGCTGGGATTACAGGTGTGTACCACTATGCCCAGGTAGATTTTTTTTCTCTTTGTGGTACTGTGGCTTGAACTCAAGGCCTATACCTTGAGCCACTCTACCAGCCCTTTTTTGTGATGGGTTTTTTGTCTAGATATGGTCCCATGAACTATTTGCCCAAGCTGGCTTTGAATCATGGTTCTCCTGATCTCTGCCTCCTGAGTTGCTAGGATTACAAGTATAAGCCACTGGTGCCTAGCCCAGCTTGTTCTTGAAATAGGGTTTCTTTGACTTACAGACATGTGCCAGCACACCCAGCCCCTGTTATTGTAAGAAAATACCTGAGAAGGCATTTTATTTCCTATAGCTCTGTTAATATAGCCATTTTCACAATATTGATTCTACAATCCATGAGCATGGGAGATCTTTCCATCTTCTGTAGTCTTCTTTGATTTCTTTCTTCAGTGGTTTATAATTTTCCTTGTAGGGTTCCTTTGTTAAATTTTCTAGATTTTATTTGAGGCTATTGTAAGTGGAATTGTTTTCCTATATTCTTTCTCGGTCTGTTCATTGTTGGTGATAGAAAGGCTGTTGATTTTGCATCTTGCTACTTTGCTGAAGCTGTTTATGTTGTCTAGGAGATTTTTGGAGTTTTTCAGCTGTTTAAGGTACAAAATCATGTCATCGACAAATAAGGATAGTTTGACTTCTCCCTTTCCAATTTGTATACTTTTTATTTCTTCTTCCTGTCTTATTGCTGTGGCTATGAATTCCAGGACTATGTTGAATAAGAGTAGAGAGAGTAGGCACCCTTGTCTCATTCTTGACTTTAGAGGAAATGGTTTCAGTTATGATGTTGGCTATAGGTTTATCATATATAACCTTTATAATATTGAGGTACATTCTTTCTATTCCTAGTTTCATCAGAGCTTTTATCATGAAAGGATGCTGAATTTTGTTAAAGGCTTTTGCTGCATCTATTGAGATGATCATCTGGTTTTTGTCTTTGTTTTTGTTGATATACTGTATTACATTTAATGACTTGTGTATGTAGAATCATCCCTGGGATGAAACCAACTTGATCATGGTGTATGATCTTTTTGATATTCTGTTGAATTTGGTTTGCCATTATTTTATTGAGGATTTTTGCATCTGTGTTCAATAAGGAAATTGGCCTGTAATTCTTTTTGTTGTGTGCTTGCCCAATTTTGGAATTAGTGTAATGCTGGTTTCACAGAATGAGTTAGGCAGTGTTCCTTCCCTTTCTATTTCATGGAAGAGTTTAAGGAGTGTTGGTATCAGTTCTTCTTTAAACGTCTGATAGAATTCAATGGACCATCTGTCAGGTCCTGGACTTTTCTTTTTTGTGAGACTCTATTGCTGCTTCAGTTTCATTACATGCTATAGATCTGTTTAGGTGGCTAATATACTCTTGGTTCAATTTTGGATGGTTATATGTGTCTAGAAGTTCGTCCATTGCTTCTAGGTTTTCCAGTTTAATTGAATACAGGTTTTCAAAATAGTCCCTGATGATTCCCTGGATTTCCTTGTTATTACCTCCCCTTTTTCATTTCTAATTTTATTAATTTGGGTCTTTTCCCTCTTCATTTTAGTCAGATTCACTAGGAGTTTTTCAATCTTATCTCTTCACAGAACCAGCTTTTTTTTTTTGTTTATTCTTTTTAAGGATTTTTGGGTCTCTACTTCATTGATTTTGGCCCTTACTTTTATTCTGAGGAAATATTTTAAAGTCCAGTCTAAAGTTAGTCTCCTCTGAAAAGAAAATCTTTATATTGACTCTGCTTTAGTGTTATTAAATTCTTTCAATTATGACAAAAATACTAATGTATTTTAATATTTTTAAATCTTGTATTATTATATGAGAAGACATTTGTGATTATGTAATTGTGTTTCAAGTATGAATGTGTCCTCTAACACACTGACAGATTAGAACACCAGTGTGAGGGGTTGCTATTTCTTTAGTTTTTGTTTTGTTTTGTTTGAAAAAGCGTCTCACAATGTACCCCAGGCTGGCCTTGAACTGGCAATCCTACCTTCTATTCTGGGTGCTGGGATTACTTGTGTGTACCACCATGCCCATCTGGAAAGCCATTTTTAATGGTTATCTTAGTTTCATAAAGTCAGACATTTTAAAATGTCAATAAATCATAAGTATTTAGATATAAATATGTATTATTTATGATTCTTTGACATGCCAGATGTTTAGAAAGCATCATTCATTTCCTTCCCTCTTTCACCTCCCTCCACCAGTCTCCAGAACAGACTGCTGACTTACATATACTGTGTTGACTGTGCAGGAGTACATGAGTAAACCTGCTTTAAACTGCCCTTTGTGGTTTTTAGGTTGGTACTCTAAAATAATTCAGGTTAAAAGGAAATCTTCATGTAGGTGACAGTAAAAAGTTACTCTCATTCTAGCCATGGTTGACATTTCTTTTCGCTGATTCTACTCCTCAGCACAATAGAATATGTGAATTTTGTAATTAAAATATGGACCTGATAATAAGTGGAATAGAAGTCTGTGCATTGGAAATTATTGGAAAAATAGGGTTGAATAAAATACGAAGGGCTGTGGAAGAAAGATGAAATGGAATTTAATCTCATAAGTTTTATTACAGAGTCTTTAGTCTGGGCTACATGACAGAATTGTATTTATGAAGATTGATTTGATGGCATCCTAAAGTGACATTGAAAGACCTTGAGACTGAGTGGTACGGTTGCTCCCTCCCTGGGTGGGGCCAGCTGTGTGCTCTCAGGAGTGACGAGGCCAGGTGAAGATGTGCTCTCACCCCTCCTCTTCAGACTGAAGACAACCTCTCCCTCGAGATTCCAAATTCCTTCTGACGTTTAACTTCTGTGCAATCCAGCATTTCACAGAATCAATTGCATTTGTAAGAGAGCTTATCTAGGTATAAGACTAATAAGTCATAGTTTTCTCAAAGATAAAAATATGTTTTTGCAGTGTGACCAAAATAGTTTATTTTTTGTATCAGTTCTGTGCATGGCAGTCTGTGTGTGTGTGTGTGTGTGTGTGTGTTGTGTGTGTGTGTGTGTGTGTGTAGCTATGAACTGACTTTGTTCATTTTTAATTTTTTTTATCAAGAAAGAATATACAGAGATGATTTAATGTCATACAGAGCCACAGGGATTTCAGTGAAAAATAAGCTTCTTGAGAACAGTGAGATGAAATGGGGATGGAAAGCTGTGTGGTACGTTGCCTGATACGGGGTTTTGAATGAGAAGAGTACAAGAAGATGGTGATTTTAACTTCCATAACCTCCCAAAATTATGTCTTAAAAAGCCTGTGCATCGATGTGTGTATGTTTGTGTGTATAAATACGTAATTACATGAACATGAAAAATATCCAGACTTACATTAGTAAGTTAACATAGCTTACGCAGATAGAAGGTAGGAAAAGGGTCCAAGCAAAAGAGAAGAATATTCTAACGAAAGAAAGAGCATAGAACATGAAGAACTCAGCATCCAGGGTTTGCTTTGCAGTGTTCCCGATGACTTTTGCACAGTGTCACACAGTAGGAAGTGAAACAATGAGAGTCCCAATGTCCAGGCCAATCTCAGCCCCACTGCTCTTCTGTAACCTGAATCAAATGCCCAGCTCTCTGGCTATGAAGGTTGCTCTTTAAAATGGAGATAATAAAACCTACTTTGTAGAACTGCAGCAAGGATCAGATGAGAGATAAAAGCAGTCCTGCCATCGATACTTGGAAACTTGTGTCTCCCGCATTCCCTTTAGAAGTGTTTACCTTTTCACAACATGGTTCTTGTAGATTATGTGTGACAGTCCAAGAAGTCACCCAATTAAGAGAAGACAAAGCTCACCTGGAGAAACAGACCAGAGATCTACAAGCCAAGTGCAGTGCCTCAGAAAATGAGAAATATGAGGCCATCACAAGAGCCAGAGAGAGCATGCAGCTCTTGGAAGAAGCCAACCTGGAGAAGAGTCAGGTAGGAACACCAGCAGCATGTCCATGCAGCGTAAGATGCAGAGGATGCGCCCACACGCCCAGCACTAAGGGACTTGGCTCGCATTCAACAGACAACTCGTAGTATCATAAAATACACAAAATGTTAGTCCTCTCCCAGACCAGTGTTTAAATGTCAGCCTTTCCTAATGTCCCCGTATTTCCGGTGTCCCATCCTTGGTCTCCTGCTTTGTACCTGCTGCAGAGTTACAGTGTAATCTGCGCTTCGCTCTGTGAGTTGCTGCCCTTTTATGTAGAGCTCACTCTATCATTAATTTATTATCAATGTGTATTGAGTACCCAGTATATGCAGAATACTCAACTAGGAAATATGAAGGGTATAAAAGAAATGTTGTTTAGGTTTCTTATTTTTACATGGTAGAGGATTTTCCAAGAGAGCTACTGAAAATAAAATAAGCTATAATTTGATATCTTACAAAGTTAAAAAGAAATAAAGAAGCCAGGCTTGGTGGTACATGCCTATAATCCCAACACTTAGGAGGCTGAGACAGGAAATTAGCCAGTTTGAAGTCAGCCTGTACTACCTAGTGAAACCTTGTCATTAAAAAGAAAAAAAAAAAAAGAGGGCAGTGAAGAGGAAACAAACAGTGGACAGAGAGAAGGCAGCCTGTCCCCAGCTGTCCTCACTCCAGTCCTGAGTCGGCAGGTTCTCACAGAGGCTCATCACTTCCTTGCTGGTGTGTTTCCATCTTCAGGTGCTGTGAGGGGTCTTTTGAACCAACCGTGCAGGGCAGAAGCACCTTGTGCACTGTCCTGCCTTCACGGTTCTGAGTCCATCACCGCTGTTACTTCTCACCATCTTACTTGTTTAAGGTGGAGATTTGGTTTAAAAATATGAGAGCGTGTGATCTGGAGATGGTCAGATCAGAATGCTGGCCTGCTTACTGTGTGCTAATGAAAAAACAGGCCCCATATAGCCCAACTCAGAAGGATGTTTGCATTAGGGATATAAATTTGGAAATTGTCAATGTTTAAATTACATTTAAATCAGAAGATTTGAGCCGAGCCCTGCCTGGCTCAGAGGTTCAGACTGAGGGGTGGAAGGAAAGGCGCACTGCTGCCGAAAGCCAGGAAGGTACAAGGAGGAGAGGAGCATAATCCAGTACCTCGGCGTGCACACCGAAAATTGACTCACCAACAATCACCATGGAGATGGTGGTGGTGGAAATCTGGTTAGAGAAAATTAAGAGATAATGGGAAGAAAAGGTCCACTGGGAAGCAAAGAGATGGAGTGTGATTGACAGCAGACTTAGGATTCCAAGCACGTTTTCAGTGGAGAAGGAAATGGGTAGAGGGGTAAAAGCATATGGGACGGGGTCTGCGTGAGAGGGGCGAGGACTGTGGCAGCTAGCTCTTAAGCCCCAGACAGTACAAAAAGAAGGCCAGGTCTCTCCCAGACATGTCACCTAGTGTGGGGCTGACTTTGCAGGAGACTTGGAAGAGCCAAGACTGTTTCAGAGATGGGTCTCGGGGTTCCACTGTGGAGGTTAGAAGAGCACTGGGGCCAGTGACTGAAATGAAGAAAGAGTGAGGTGAGGAAACCTTCTTCAGTGGCCACGTCCCCATGAGGTGTTTGCGTTAAAGAAAGTAGTGGTGGGTAGGTTTTGAACCGATTATCCTGGCTAACAGTGATGTGTGATCTGTGACGTGAAACGGTTACTCTCTGAAGGTCCTGTTTGAGGAGAAGCAAAAAGACGAGGATAGAGAGAAAATGAGGAAGACGATCGCTCAGCTCTTGCAAGACGCCATCACAAACTCCAGGAACAGCGTAAAGGTTGTTCATTACATGTAAAATTCAAAATTAAGTCCCAACCAAAGAGTGAGTGCTGCTTAAATACTTTACAATGAAGGTAATTGAGGACATATTCATAGAGACTGTATAGGAAATTATTAACGTGATGGTTGAAAACTGACATTCCTTTCCTTTCAAATGAACTCCTGTAGACTGTGGGTGTACTGCATAGTGTTCCACTGGATTTTCTTGCTGATGTTTTTCTGTGAGCAATGTTATTTCTATTCTAAGTTAGCTATAATTTTAAACTGGTTTTTAATAGTGTCACTTAAAAAAATAAAGTTAATGTTTGCTTTCTCCTAAACAACCAAGCAGTGCTGTTTCGGTGTTGTGAGCCGCTCTGTAAGGCCTCTTCCTGGAAAAGCATTTCCTCTTCCTGGAAAAGCATTTCTGTCAAAGACGTCAGTCACAGGGCCTTGTGGCCAAGACGAGATGATGACAGCAGTCTCTGAGGCTATAATGAAGCTGGAAAGTCTAGCACCTCGTATTGTCGCTGTCCCCTTTCTAGTCTAGGTCTGTGTGGACACCTGTACCTACACTATTCACCACAGTAGACGCTTTGTACTTTAGTAGCCTGAGACTATACTGTGACCTGAGTGTGCCGTGAGCTTGCCTTCTCGGTCACAGCTGTGCCAGGACCCTCATGATGCTCACGGCATGAGATCTCCTGGAAGGGCATTTCTCAGGCAGTCCTGTGGTCAGGTGGTGGAGTCCAGACCTAAGCATTGGCCTTTGTACTCCTGATCTTCCATATCCTTCTGCCAGAACCCTGCCCTATTTATGGGATTGAGATTATGCTAACTTTGGGCTATAGCCTAACATTTTTATTGAAGACATGTTTAAGTAGATATTAATGAATTTTAGGTATTTCATCAAAATAGTTTATCAAGGTATTTTTACCTTGGTATTAACTCAGTTGTATTGTCTAATCCTAAAACAAATTCATGTTGATTTTTAAGGTTGATGAAGGTTGTCTTTTGCATTAACCTTTACATGATCACAGAGAGGGTTTTTTGTTGTTATTTTCCGCCTTACCTGGGTTTGAGTTCTCGCTAGGTAAGTGCTCTACCACTTGAACCTCGCCCCAGCCCGCAGTGCAGGTTTGAAGTGTTACGATCTCTGTGTTCATCCTGTACATCTTTGTAAACATGAGTGTTTGTCTACTCATCCTATGTAAGCTGCCCTGCCAAGCATCTTCAGGTTGCTAGCCAGGCTAGCCTGCTCTCTCACTCCCAGTCAGAGCTTTCTGGGTGTCCTGTGGCTTCTGTGCACCCAGCTGTCCCTGCTGTACCAGTACACTGAGGAGGCACATGGCACACTTCCTACGCACTCAGCATGTTGTCCCATGAGTCCGTGCTCTTGCCAGTGAAATAACTGACTACTAAAAGTAGTATATGCTCGTGCAAAAGTATGTAACAGAAAATTAAAATTACAAACCCAGTATCAGAGATAACAATCAGTACTTTTAGCATTTTTCTTTGGATTTTCATTTAACCCTATGTTATTCATGGTACGTGTGAAATGAAGATCAGCCTATGAATAATGCTGATCTTGGGAGGTAGGAGGATAGAGGCCTACGGCGTTCGAGATGGCAAAGAGTAGGTAGCAGCCTTACAATAAACAAAACACATTTATTTATGTTCTGTATTCTCACTCCTGACTGCTCTGTGCCCACCGTGGCTTGTGCTCTGGCATCAGTTGCAAAGTTGCTGGCGTGGCCCGGCCATGCCACCTGCACAGATACAGGTTCACACTGATGCTGCTCTCGCTCACTTCACAAGCGTGCACCAGCATGCTGTGCTGATGGTCTGCAGAGCCTGCAGGACAGGCGCCAGCACTGCAGATTGAGAGTCTCATTCGCCGCTTCAGCTAGACCAAAGGACGTTTGAAAATACGCTTATTTTCATAAATATACATAATTCATGCTAAGTGGGTAATGACTTTAATTATTGTTTTTGAAGGAGCTATTTTTAACTTTTTGTCATTTTTTATTTCTAGTAGCAGTCAAATATTAGTAGAAAGTGCCCATTATAAACAAAAGCTCTTCACTTTGTAGTGTGAAGGACCAAGACCAAAAGTTCAATGACCACTGTGGCAACTGCTCCCTCCTCCTCTGCTCCCAGGGCCTTGAGCTCATGCAGCAAGCACGCCTGCTGAGCTGCATCCCAACCCTTGGGGTTTGTTTTCTGTTTTGTTTTAGTTTGCTTGCTTACATTTTTGCTTTGTTTTGCTTATTCGAGACAGGGTCTCATGATGTAGCCCAGGCTGGCCTCTAACTCAGAGTCTTCTTCCTTCTGCCTCCCAAATATTGGAATTACAGGCATGAACACCATACCCAGCTCATGACAAATTCTTGGGTCTTTAATACATTGTATGTTTATTTTATCTTTTATACCCTAAAAGTTACACTTGTTAATAAAAATTATTATCCTAAATTTTTATCAAATATTAATCTTTTTATTCTTTACCTAAATAATGTTTGGCATTTTAATTTACAGGCTGAAAGCACAAAAATACACTATGAGGCACAGATTTCTCAATTAACGGAGGAGCTCTCAGCCCTTCAAATGGTATGTGAGAAGAGTACACTGATGACCCCAAGTATTGCTCATCTTAAAGGCAAAAATAAGTGCTACTGGCCATTCCTTCATTCAGAGTGCCAGTGTCACTTTTGGTTTCTTTAATGTCATTTACTTTAACAATATGGGAACATAGTATAAAATTACCCAGAGGCAGCATGGCTCCTGAGTCATGTGAAGTTCTTGGTTGTGCAGTTTTCTTCCTGTTGTTTTACTCATTCTCCTTCATGAGCTGAAGAAGAAAAATGACAGTGTCCTTACCACAGTCCAAGTCATTTCACCCACCCTGTAATGGACTAGGAGCTCTGAGGGCAAGAACACTTGTCCTATTTTCCCAAAGGACTGAGGGCTGGCCAAGACTCGTTAGCTTTATAACAACCAAATCTATATTAAACTCACTTTATAATAAAATGGTTTGACAGGTTTACTTTACTGGAAAAGGCATTTCTTACATCTTATACTAAATGAAATTCCATTTCATAGGTAAGTGGTTTTACTAAAGATGTGAAGTATTATCTGATACCATGTTCATTCTGGGGAAAACTGTACTGTCTAATTGAAAAGTGTTTGAAGTATTATTAAATATGTTAGAAAATCTGTTTGAAAAAAGGCATTTTTCATTTACTTTAAAATCAGATTTTCTCAGAAAGTCTATGCTGCAGTATTAGACACAGTACCTACTGCCTGCTCTAGTTCTCTTATTCAGTAGCAGTTGTATAATCTTTACCAGAAAGACTCAGTCTGAGAGGAACTGAAACAGATTCCAGCTCAGCAAATATCACGTTGTGCTTGAGGTGCAAGGAGGGTTGTGTGGTAGGTTTAGGGGAGGCCAGAGGCCACGTGTCCTTAGGCGATGTGCAGGTTGTGTCATAGGCCAAGGGGAGGCCATGGGCTGTGTGTTCCTACATACATATCTTTCTTTGGAGACCAATACATGCCTAACAGCCTTTCTTCACTCCTGCGTGGTGGGCTTCTCTCAAGAATGACTCAATCTGTCATGGGGCAGATTGCTTTTAACTATAGCAAATGGGGAAAAAGATTAATTCTAAAATGCCCAAATATATAAAAGTAAATTAAATATTTGTTATGACCTTTTCTTACATTTGTGGATTTTTGAAAGTTTACTTTTGAGTTTCCAAATAACACAGTTGTAGACTGTCATTTACGATTGATTTCAGCTTTGGTTACATAGTGGCCCAGAATTGTGGCCCCTATGACATTGCTGTTGAGACTTTGCTGAGACTTCCTTGTGGTGTATGATTTTAGACATATTCTATGAATGCTTGGGAGAAAATATATCATTTTATCATATTTTCCCTGGGGATAGATGTATCAATGGCAAATATGTCTTGAAACCTTTTAATAATAATTTTAATACTCACTTTGGTATTGCAATGCACTTTAATAAGATTAGCATGATAATCCTCTGTAAGTCTCACCTTTTCTGCTCATTTTACCTCTGCTACCCCAGATTAACCAAATGCTATTTCAAGCCCGGTTGTTTGTTGTGAAATATGGTAGGTGAGGCATAGGAATCCATGATACTTATCACAGGTCTGTCTTTGTGTGCTACTTGCTGGACCAGAAGTGTCACAGTATGTTCAAAGTCACAGGGAGGAGTTATGAACACAGGAGAAACCCCACATCTGCACCATGACCACCTGTTCGTAGAGAAGCAGCTTAGTGTCCACGTGAGCCTCGTGGGGCATAAACCACTCAAGTCTCTTGTTCACTACAGGTTCCGTCTCAGCACCATGCGTGACGGTGAAAGTTTTCATCTGACTTGTGACTCGGGGTTAGAGGTCTTGATGATGACACAAGACTGTTGAGCTGGAGTTCTAGTTTAGAAGCACTCTTTCAGAGTTTGGAACACTGCCTGTACTCTTCTAGCATATGAGAATGCAAGTGGAAGGTCATTCCCCGAGCTCTGTCCGAAAGCAGGCTCATCCAAGGCATGACCATGATGCTCATTTCCAAGATGGATAAACATGTAAAAACAAATAACTGTCAGCAGCCAGTGTTTGGATATTTTTTTTCTTTTTTGGTTTTAGTCTCACTAGCAAAAAAAAAAAAAAAGCATCGAATGATGTGCTTATTAAATTTACTGATTAGGACCTTTTCAGCATAAAATTTTCCAAGTGTAAGTGTTTTGTGCTCATTCTAATAAAATGTTTTTAGTATCTCTATGGCTGTTTGAATGTTTTAACCGTTTTATAACAATTTAGAACGGTTATAAAAAAATATTAACCGTTTTAGAATTTATACACCTGTGCACTCTTGAAGCCACAGGCTATATTGTGCCACTATCCATGTTCCCATTTAAAATATTTAATAAAGGCAGATAGAAGGAAAAGCTACAGCATGAGAAGAGGCTTGTTTACTTTTTCTGCCTTGAATCCCCACCCCCACCCCACCATTCTCTCCTGCTCATAGCTCTTTGAATATTGAGTTTTGTTTTTCTTTTAATCACTATGGCCGTATTTTGTTGACAAGGTAACATATTCCTGTTTTGGACAAATCGCTTTACTTTTCACTTTCACTGCTTTTCTTAAGGTTTTACAAATATATTTAAATATATTTAATTACTTTAATTTATAGGAATGTGATGAGAAACAAGAACAAATTGAACGAGTCATTAGGGGAAAGAAAGCTGTGGAAGAAGAACTAGAAAAGGTAAAAAGAAAGGAGGTGAGGCTCCTCACCATGGCCTTCCCCACCTTCCTCACACCTGTGGGCACCCTTGCCTTTAGAAGTATCTCCAGGTGGGCAGGTGAGCAGGCTCACCTTCCGAGAAATGGCTCACTCTGCAGTTACATACTGGTGTTGCCTATGTGCATTGCTTTCTAAGGGTGGCCATAGGACTTAAAGTACTTAAAGGTGTAAATTTTGGCTTTGTTCCTTGACTAAACCTCATCCCAGTAATAAATTTCACTCTGTCTTTTATTTTTTAATTTTATGTCAGCTCTTACTGGGTTAGGCCATCTTTAAACATAGTCAGATCATTGCTATGATTTTTACCTTTTAAAAATATAATTAGGAAAAATACTTACCCAGTGATATTTGAAAAATCTCTTGGGAGAACTCTTTCTATTAGCAGTTAATACCCACTTTTTTAAAGGCTGTGGGCGCAGGTGGGAGACCAGTCCTACGCGCTCCAATGCAGTTTGAGTGAGAGTCTCAGAGGAGGCTGAGGAAATTGCCCAGTGATGAAAACAGGAAATGATGAGTCATGGTGTAAGAATCAAAACTCTTGACAACATCAGCCAGTAAAGCAGTAAGTCATCTGCAAAGCAGAGTGTGTATGGTGAGCAGCCCCGGCTGTTCCAGGCAGCCCTTGGTGGCTGCCGCTCTCCTGCAAATTGCTTTACTTCTCATTTTCCCTGCAAGGCAGGTCCTTCTGCATCACCCTTCATCCAGTGTAGATTGCCACCGCCACACAGCAGGGTTTGGCCTGATTTTTTTTTTTCCTCTTTTTTTCTCCTGGTGCTGAGGATATAAACCCAGGGCCTTGTGTATACTAGGCAAGCACTTACCCACAGACCCGCTGTAGCCTGTGGGATGAAGTTGTGACATTCATGGTGTAGGGTAAGGAAGAGGCTGTGTTGGGGAAAAGTGAAACTCACAAGGCCAGTGGCCACAGGCAAAGAGAAAAGCAGCACCCTGTCCTCTGACGCCCCACAGACCAGTGTGCCACACTCACAGCACTGCTGGCCGACCGCAGCGGTACGTTCCAGCAGGGGACCTGTGACGGGCCACTGCTCCCCCTTCTTGTGGAGCAGGACCGACACAGTAGTCTTGTCAGTGGGCACCACACAGGTTGATAACCAGGTAGTCCGTGTGTGTAGAGAATGTCTGAAAAGGTGAGCTGCCCTGCCTCTGGAAACCTGGGGTCCCTTGAGGTGTTTGCACCACTTGCCGTGAGAGGGGCTGAGCTGGGTGCCAGGTGCCGCTGCTGGGGAAGAGGCACTCCCATTCCAGCTGGACCATATCCAGGCAGTCAGGGCACTCGCTGTGCTCACTGCACTGCAGTAGAGACTGTTGAATAGTGCAAAAGAGTCATCCTGAAGGATGCTTATCAGAGTCACCTGTGATTCAGTTCACTTTCAAAGCATTTTTAAGTATCAGCTGCTTTACAAAAATTTACAGCCTTATCAGTCTTAAGCATCTTATTTTGTAATTAACCATGGATGTGTTTTAATATGTCACCACAGAGACCGATGTCCTTTTGTTTCTAAAATGTATAATTTACTGGGACAGTTTCCTCCCACAAGGTCCCTTACATGTGAGTGTCTTCCTCAGGTTCTCCGTGAGAGCAGAGGGACTGACAGTGACTACAGAAAGCTGGAGGAGATGCACCACAGGTGTCTGGCCGCAGAGCGCTTAAAGGACGACCTTCAGCTAAGCCTTAAGAGGGCAGAAAACAGGATAAAACAACTGGAAGTTAAGTAAGTTTTCTATGGATTTGCTGTGGTACCACCTTCAGCATTGACGAGTTTTGATGGATCCTGTCTATTTTTATGAGGCCCCTAACTTACGTTGAAGGGAACAGTATAACTTTGCATGGTTATTTCTAAAAGCTAATTTCTTCAGGAAGAAAAGATTTACTAGGATACCGTTTTATTTTAAATTTATCCTTTCTGGTTAGATTTTTTTCATACTATGTAGCAATTATTGTAGCAGACTAATAATTACTGCTTTTATTTTGGCGTATTTCTTATGACACTGAACCATTGTGTTACTTATTACATTGTCTATAAAAGTGATTAGCTTGTCACATTCGGCATTTCCATTCTGAATTTTTTTAACTTTCCCTACCAGAATGTTACTTACTACAGCAAAAATAAGTTACTTATTTGGATTGCCTGAAGTCTCAATCTCTGTATATTTTTTAAAAACATTTTAATTGAACATAATTTTATTTAAAATATATACTAATACCTAAGTTGGCTCATTTTTTTTTTTAAAAGGAGATCCTGGAAACTGTTTGATAAGTACACGTGTACTTTTTAGTCATCTGTTGAGAGAGTCACGTGTGGTTACTTCTAAAGCAAGCAGGCAGGAGGAACTGTTTATTCCAGTAGGGATTCTCTGTGCATGTTAAGCCAAGAGTCACGCAGGAAAGCTTCTCCCAGTGCCATGGTTCTTCTGGCATCTCTCTTCAGGGTGAATTCTCACACGTTCCCTGACGGGCGCAGGCACAGGAAATGTCTTCCATGCCTCATTTATCAAGTCTCTCTCCAGGGGAAGCTGCCGTGTTTCTTACTATCCAGAGAAATCGGAAAGCTTTCCCACGTGGCTTAGAGTCATGAGGTTTCTTTCTAGGTGTGTGTTTATGCCTTTCCTCAGAGATGAGAGGGAATGCACACTTTCCACAGTTCCTGTATTTACAAGGTTTTACTCCACTCTATATTCAATCATGAATTTTAATCTGTAAAGGACAAATAAAGGCTTTTTCCAATTTTGGGCATTAATGTGGCTTTTCTCTCCTGTGGATTTTTGCTTCTTTTCTAAGGGAAGAATAACAATTTAAGACTGTTCCACCTCCTTACAGTAATAGGGTGTCACTCCAGGGGATTCCCACTTCTGAAAGCTAAATGACAGTTGGAGGCAGGTCCACATTTCCTAAATCCATGACTTTTCTCCCATGTGAGTTTGCACATAAATATTAAGATTTGAGAGCCAATTGTAACTTTTCTGTCTTCCTTACCTGTGTCTGCTGTGAGCTTATTAGGGTGTGTGGGGGTGCAAGTATATCAAGTGAGCACACACACTACACACAGTGTGAAACCAGGCAGAGTTTTAAAGACTTCCCCATACTGCTGGTTCCACACACTTTTTCCCTGTGTGAAGCCTTAATGTGGAGTAGAGAGGTGAGTGTCTGAAGCTCCCCTTTTCGCTTTCATCCACAACCTTCGCACATACATGCACGCACTCGTGACTCTCCTGGTCAGCATGTTCCCCAGCACTGAGTCGTGAGCCAGGTCTGAGGAGCACCAAGGAAGCTTGCCCATGTGCTTATGTATAGCAGCAGGCTTCTCTCCAGGACAAGGTTTTGATGTTCCACAAAGGATGAGGACCAGCCAGTTTCCTTCACGTCTGCGGGCTCTTCTGAGTGTGTATTTTTTTGCTTTGTTAAGGAGCAAAAGATGGGAGTTCCTGAGGGCTTGCAGACATGCTCCACAAGCAGTGAGTGCTTTCCCACACACTCCACACTGAGTATCCATGGCACTCTGCGAGGGGCTTGATAACCTGCCTGATAACCCCTGACTAGCGCACTTCATTTAGAGGATCTCTCTTGAACACTTGTGGCTTTGGGATGCTGGGACTGCATCGGTTTCTACCTTTTGCTTCCAGTCATTCACTGACATGCGGGGAATTCTGTGAAGAAGCACGTGATATATGCTGTTTCTAGTCGGAGCGTCTTTCTGCTACTAGCAACCATGTGATCCTTGCCTAGATGCAGCATTTCATTAGGATCCTTACTAGCGAAGATTTAGACTAGAAAAAAGAGCTGTAGCTCTTACGAGAATGACAGACTTAATACAGTCAGAACAGAAGGGTGGGAGGAGCTGAGGAAGCAGAGATCTAGCTGTCAGAGAAATTCACCAACTGTGTCTACCTGAAGATTGACAGATACGGCAGGTCGGCCTGCTGAAGCAGGGCCACAAAGGCATGGTGCATAACTGCCTCCATGTGAGTGTTATTTATATATTTTAAGAACCTCTCTCTTGTAAGGTTCTTTTGGCCACTGTTTCTGCAGCCATCACAGCATCAGTGCATGTCCATGCTCCCTGACTCACCCTGTGACCAGAGAATGTTCATTTGATTATCTGCATTGGGAGATGGTGATTTTAGAAATCAGGAGTGAAGATTGGCAGTGAGTTTATTACTTGAGGCACATAGTGACGCCTCCATGCTTAGATCTAGGTTGTCTGCCCGATAACCCCTGACTGACTTCAAGAAACAACCTAGTAACCTATGGTAAGACCAGAGGTTATGGAACTAGAGTTTAAAAAACATTTCTAAGACACGTAGGAGGAGAATATGAACTTGGACCGGAACGCAGTCTCCATGTTGTTTTCCAGTGGAGTTTAGTATTTTGATTAGTACCTATTTCATTTGCAAAGCAGGTGTTCTACCATTTGAGCCACATCTCCAGTCCATTTTGCTCTGGTTATTTTAGAAATGAGATCTTGTGAACTGTTTGCCTGGGCTTGTCTTGAATTGTGATCTTCTTGATCTCTGCCTCCTGAGTAGCTGGGATTACAGGCGTGAGCTTTTTCTTACCATTGACTTTAGTTTGTGCTCTTGAAAAGTCCTTACAATGATTCTTGATGTTATTAAGTATTTAGAGAAACTTTATGTTGCTTCTCTAGATGACTTACAGCTATAGTTTGGTTTATCTGTTCTTAGTTAAGATTTTTAAGTTAAGTGGATTGTTACCTTGTTTAAGGATTCTTTTTGTTTTGTTTTTTGAAATGAGTTCCTCAGAAGAGATAGCGCGCTCCCATGAAATAATCCAGAAACTTCAAAGTGTGTTGGAGTCTGAGAGAGAGAACTGTGGTGCTGTCAGTGAGCAAAGGCTCAGACTCCAGCAGGAAAATGAACAGTTGCAGAAGGAGACTGAAGACTTAAGGAAAGTTGCTCTGGAAGCTCAAAGACAAGCCAAGTTAAAGGTACTGTCAAGACCAAACTGTGTAGACCATACCTAGTAAGACCTGGTAAACACTTTTAAGGCCTTTTCTTTTCTTACCCTAAGTCAGATAGCACTGAGCCATGATTCAAGTGTTAACCAGTCACCTCAGTATCAAGGATTTGGTGAGCACACTTGAACGTAGCTACCTTCTCTATCTGCACACACACAATCCTTTTCCAGCCCTGAAGCTGGACACTCCTGCCAAAGCCATCTGAGCAGCACTAGCAAAGCTGCAGATGAAATAATTCTTCAGACTGCCTTCCCCTGTCCTTCTGTTACATCTGCTTAAAGCTTGAACTCCTTAAAACTCACTGTAAAAGGGTGGAACAGCAGTGTGCCAGCAAGAAGAAGGCAGGGCAAGCACTGCATCTGAAGAAAACCCCGCCTGCCTCCTTTCTCCCCCTTCCTTCTCCACTGCTGCTATTACCAGGAGCATGCTATCCTGTTTAAGATGCTTTCAGGACCATGAGCCTTCCCTGTCCCCTGCTCCCTTACCTTTCTCCATTCCCCAGGGCTTTTGTAAAAAGTAGAACTGACCCCAACGTCACATCGGGGTAAAGTGGCACTGGTAGTGTTTTACCTTGTTTTTCACTGTTGCAAGGACTGCTAAGAAGTCACATTCCAACCTGATTCATATCAACATATACTTATCAAACACTTCCCCTTGCAAGTCTCCAGCACCATGGGGATTTATAAAAATAGGAAGCCTAAAATGAAAAGAGAGAGAGGTTTGTACTGTACAATTTACATTGTGGAAAATCTGAAAGACTTGGTCTAAAGCTGTGGTAATTAAGACTGTGTTACCAACATGAGAAGACTCAGGTTGATGAAGAGCACAAAATAAGAGTCCAGAAACAAACAGCAAAAGTACCACTGCAGTTCACTAGGGGAGAGGCCTCACAGCTGAGGATACTGGGTCAGTGAGACCGTACTTAAATCTTGACTCCTGCTGTCACATCAGATACACACATTAAATGTGGAACATAAAACATGGCATCTCTAGGAGAAAATCTTCATGTCTTGGTGGAGGGAAAGATTTCTTAAACATAACACAAAAGGCACTAATTGCAACAAAAGTTAAAATAAATTGGATTTCATTAAAGAGGGGTTTTTTTTCTCACCAAAGATACCATTAAACCAGGCATGGTAGTGTACACCTATAATCCCAGCACTTGGAAGGCTGAAGTAGAATTGTGAGTTTGAGGCTAGCCTGGGCTACATAGGAGTTCAAGGCCAGCCTGTGCTACTTAACAAGACGCTGTCTCAAAAAAAACAGACGCCATCAAAGTGAAAAATGAGGAAGCATATTTGAAATACATACAATAAAAAAAAAAGACTGTATAAACTCTTACCAATTAATAAAAATATTATTAATAAGGAAACAATAATAACAATAAGGAAAAGCGGAAATCCTATCTCCAAAATTGCAAAAGACGTAAGCAAGCATTTCATAAAAGAAAATCCTTGCAAATATGTTCAACTTCACTATTTTTGAGGGAAATATAAGTTAAAACTGCAAGGAGGTGAAACTGACCTAGCAGAACAGCTGAAATTTATGAGAGTGACACTATCAAGTGATTGGAGTGTCCTAGGATCCTGGGAGGTGTGAGTGAGAGTGGTGTCTTCTACAGAGATGCACACGCAGCCGTGGCAAAGAGTCCTGCCCGTACCTCAGCAAGTGTGAGAGCTTGTGTCACAGGCCATGCGTGTCGGCCCTACAGGCTAGATGTCCATCAACATGAGACACTCATGTGGATTAATGCAGCAATGAAAACTAACAAGCTGAGTTCATGAGCCTCAGTGGATGAGTTTCATAAGAGCGGACACGAGAGAGCTCACGTTCTGTTATTCGTGACCTGAAAGTGAAGAAGACCACAGGGTCAGAGAGTGTGGTTGCCTGCTGGAAAGGGTACATGACAAAGCCTCAAAGATGTCCCAACCCAGGTGGTGACTTGGTTATGTTGGTGTATGGGTAAAAGAAGGGATTGTGACCTTAAAAATTAGATACTTTATTGTAAGAGAAAGAAAGTGGATCAGAAAAGATGTCAAACATCGCGGCTTTGAGTTTGATAGTTTGACGATGTGGAAGCTGGGCACTGGGCACGCAGGAATTCAGTGTAATGTGTTTTGTGGCGTTTGAAAGTTCCCATACTGAAACATTTCTGTAACTTCTTTAAAAGCCAGCACTCTTCATGACATTCATAGCATAAATTTTGTGTGTAAGACATGAGAAGGAAATGTGGATGGAAGCTTAACTGATAAATGAGGAACTTTGTAAGAAAACAAACAATGGAAGCTATTGCAGATGACAATACTGATGGATACAATATTTTAAACTATTTTTAAGTGTTTAGAACAAAATGTAAATACAACAAAAGACTAAGATCGCTCATATATTAGGAGCTCTTAAAAATAACAAAGAAAAAGTTTTATAACCCAATGAAAAGTATGAAACATCTACAGAATCCACAAATGAAGAAAAATCATCAAACAGTTTAAGCTCACCGCTAATTGCTAAGCTATCTTCATGGGGATGTGCAATGGAAAGTATAAATGGCACGTCTCTTGAGTCTAAAATTCATAAGAAATAATCAAAAGATTTCATAATTAAGTTCATTGCAGCCTTATTTTTAATTGTAAATTAGAAACAGCCTTGCATTTATGTTGCTGTAACACAGTAATGGCTTATATGCTGGAATTGTTATTTAAGAATTCACAAATAAAACAATTATGTGGAAGTTAGAAGTAGTTATCCCTGAGATGTAGGACCTTATATTTGTCAATTTAACATTTGCTATTTCCCATAACTTTACAGTATACACAAGGTTTTTATAAGGGGGGGCAGAGTAACACCAATGGATTACCCCATCTTTAACATATCAGAGTAGGAGCTGATGGCTTAGAAAGCAAAATGATGGTAAAGCGCTCATCTGCCCACACATCTGACTCAGTGTGAGTACCTCACCTGACCAGATAGCTAGCATGCGGTTTTGTGCAGCGCAGCTCTCAGAGACACTGCTGCTGTGATGTCACAGAAACCTAGTGCCACTTGCTGCTTTTCTCTCCCCCGGAAAAGAGTGTGGTCTTCAGATCAGCTGACAGTGGCCAAGAAGACAATAGTGAGACTATGGTTGGCTGCAGACGTGGATGTTGTTTTCACTTGATCTTGAAACCACTTCACTCTTCAGCCCTGGTTTTCTCCTTTTCTACTTCCTTTCTTCCTGCCAAGCTTTCCATTTCTCTGTGGTCTAAATATCCCTGTTAAGTGTCTCAAATTAAGAAATGCACTAGTTTTTAGTAATCCTGGTCTCTATTTCTGTGGGTATTTCTCTGCAGAGGTAAGCCACAAAGTAATAAGGTAGAGAAGCCATTAAATTCTTTTTTCCTACCCATCATTCTGAATTTTATCATACAAAGGTTTTTTTGTAATAGAAGATCCAGTAGTTGTGGCCGTTAGTCTTCCAACATCACCACCGACATCTCAGTTTAGCAATTGGAACTGCACTGGTTAAGACTGATCTGAACACCAGAAGGCTTTAGTCATTCAGTCTGCAAATGGACTTTGATGCTTCAGGCGCTGAGGGCAATGGAAAGTAGAGGGTACCAAGTGAGCATGGGACAGACGGGCCTGATTTACTCTAGACAGACAGTAGGGAGATTTTCCTTGTAGAAGCAGTAATTGAGCTGAGTTCTAACAAATGAGTAGAAAGAAGGACGATGAGTAGAAGGGATTATTATTCCAGGCAGAAGGACCCATGTGTGAAGGCAACCCCCAAGGGAGAAGGCAGCATGGTGGGGACAAGGAAGGGAAACGAGCAGTGGGCCAGCACCACCCCAGGGAGACTGAGGTAGGGTTCAAATCTAACCCACAGTAGTGCCTTGAAGATTGTTAGACAGCAGCAGGGACAGGGGCCTCAGGAACCTTGCAGAGCAGTATAGACCACAAATCAACATGCGCACAGTGCTCTGTATTGGTCAAGTCTTCAGCTTTATTTGCATGCTCCCTGAAGGATGTTTTAAGAGTTTTAGGAACTTTGTTGCATTTGTCAGGGGTGGTCAGGACAGGACTTCCAGTTTTCCCCCATGAGCCATGGATTTTGTTATTGCATTTTGTTTGATGTGACTTGAATAGATAAAGTTGAGTCTCAGTCGTTCTACTTTGAGTTTGAGAGTTGCCGTATTTAATGAGTTACTAGAATCCAACCCAGCTTCAGCCCTTTTTAAAGCCCATTACCTTAAAATACCATAAGATAGGTGTTCGTCACAGTATTTCTTTAGGGCAGCAAGACACAGATAGCCCAAGAGTCACCAAAGATTCAGGCCCCCTCATGGCCATAACCCACCAGGGTTTTTCTTCCCAGCCACAGAACACAGAAAATTATTCCAGTAACTGTTTTCTCAATCATAGCTCCATTCTGGATATGTAAAAGAAAAGGCAGTTTTTATATACAAGTCACTGGAATGTAAGTCTCTCCTTCAACCACTGAGAAAGCATTTACTTTTATGTTCCTTCTACATGAAGTTGTTTTAATACAATAACATAAATTCTTAGAAATATAATTAAGATGTTTCTGTATGAGATTCTGAAAATCATTTTTTTTTCCTGAAAATATGTGCATTGTTTATTAATACTGCAACTGAAATGATAAAGGAATTCCTATAATTTTCTTTTTCTTTACAAAGCACAAATTAACATATAAACAGAAAATGGCCAGAATAAAACCTAACTCTCAGTTACTAAAAAGAGGAATAATTTTCTGTGGCTTTGGAGTTCAAAAGTAAGAATAGATGAGAGAAGTTTTAGCCTATATAGTACATTTTTTCTCTACTGACATTTTAAGCTGTTTGGGAAAGTATTGCAAAATAAATATAATCCCCATAATTCTAGTTTTACTGAACTTACAGAGTAAGTATTTGTGGTGAAGATAAATTCTGAACCTAATTCCTTTTGCAGATTTCTCATCCAAATGTCTCCAACTCTCAGGCAGCATAATGAAGTTTTCCCTGTGTGTAGAGTATTGGTCAGCACAGCTCCTAGAATAGTGGGGGAAAGTTACTGTGTTCATTTTATTCTTTAGATCAGTACAATGGAACATGAATTTTCAATAAAGGAACGTGGCTTTGAAGTTCAATTGAGAGAAATGGAAGACAGTAATCGAAACTCTACCATGGAGCTGAGGCACCTCTTAGCGACTCAACAGAAGGCAGCCAGTAGGTGGAAAGAAGAAAGAAAAAAGCTGACTGAGAGTACAGAAATTAGAATCAGCAATCTGAAGTAAGTCCACTGTCAGTGACTGTTCATCAGCTGTTAATGCTAACTAAGGTTTCATGGATACTCCATAAACTGTAAATGCATGCCAGCTTACAGCATTAATGCTGTTTGAATATTGGTGTAGCATAAGTAAGTAGTCTGTATAGGCCCTGGGCTCAGTCCCCACTACCACAAAACTATAGACATGGAGAAAGTGACAAGTCTGTTGTTACCACTCTGCTCATCTTTGTACTATAAGTCCAAATCAGTATACTGTGACAAGAAACAATAAGAAAAGGTTGACTAATAAAAAAGAAAGGAGTCATTCTGAACAGACAGTTTGACCAGGTATGGTAGCACACACAATCAAAGCAGGAGGTGAGGCCAACTTGGGCTGCACAGTGACATCTGTCTCCAAAAAATTAAAAGAAAAGCAGATAACATCCAGAATAATTGATAGAAAATTATTAGGTGACCATACAAAAATCATTTGTACACTTACATACCTGCAACAAACATTTCAAAAATAAAACCTTTAAAATAGTGAAATTTGCAGTTACACTAAAAACATCAAAAACCTAGGAATAAATCTAACAAAAGAGACGTTAGATTTCTGTGTGATAAATAGAGGCAGAGAGTATGTTAATTGAACAGATATTCAATAGTACAGTTGTCTATCGCCTGCCAATCCTCTGTAGATTCAGTGTGTTCCCAATCTGAATCCTAGCTCATGGAGGAACAGTCAAAGATATATTAAGTGAGAAAATAACTCATATAACTATGTATGACACTCTCCTCTTTATCTAAGTGAGGAGTACTGTATGCATGTATTTTATATGTATGTGTCTACAGATTTGTTAGGTATACACATTTACACATGCACCCATATTTCTGTTTTTAAAAATGGAGAGGTGAGCCAAAAATAATTAAAATGGTAATCTATGACAGGAGACGGGCAGGATGAGAGTTACACTTCTTTGAAGGAGGCTTAGATTTATAGGTTTGGTTTTTGAATTATATAACTGTGATTATTTTTCACATTAAATCAAAATTTTTAAAATCCTACCTAAAAATTGAAATTGCAAATGAAGGTGATTGTGTAGAAAGTTGATGGTCTGACTGCCCCATGAATCACTTCTGTGAGATTAGGCATGGTGGTTAGATTGTCTGTCTTGGCTTACATTCTAAGTAAAAAGAAAAGTTTTCAGCTGTCATTGTTAGAAATTATATTGGTGTACTATTCTGAAATGTGTAATAGAGATGTCTTTAAGAACCAAGATTTTTATCACAAAAGAAGAGTTGAAAGGAATTAAATATGCTTCAATTCTACACTAGAATTGGGGAATATTAGTAAATGAGCTCATGATGGGTTTTGCTCCTTACAGACATGCATTTCCTAACTCTGTCCTTTTAGTGGACAGAAAAACAGTGACCACTACTCAGTCTCAGTGAGGTCTCATAAAAGAAGACAGGACTCCTTAGATTAACTGCAGACTGGAGTCAGGAAAGTACAGGATGAGACCAGAAGATACTTTGTCAAGTCAGAAAATATATCAAGATGATTGGGTCATGTCAGAAGGACCAACAAACTAATTTGCGAAGGTTCCCACTGGCCTTTATGAGAACAGTTTGAACATCAAAGAGGATATCATGAGCCTGATGTGGCAGCACAGTGCTGTAATCTCAGCCCTCCAAGGTTAAGACAGAAGCATCAGAAGTTGGAGCCCAGCCTCATATACATGGTGAGACATAGGCGGGGGTTGTAGCACGTAGCACAGCACTTGCCGACACTGGCAAGGCCCTGGGCTCAGTAGAAAATAGTTTTAAGCTCCATTACTTCAAGGTGATAGTAAAATGGGGCTAATCTGTGGAACCACAACTTGTTCTGAAAAAAGATGGGCAAAAAAAAAAATTCCAGCACCTACCCACCTGACCTTTCTCAGCATGCTTTATCAAAGGCTCTCTGGCCTTTCCCTTTCCAGAAGCTCTCACTTTACTGATCCGAGAACCAAGGAGGAGATTCTGGCAGCGGCTCGGTCTGTCTAAAGCAACCCAGAACCAGGGAAGTACCTCAGGGCAGGGTTGAGAGTCCTGGACCGCCATGACACCCTTCCAGGCTCCATGGGCCTGCGTCTGCCCTGCTGGGGACGCAGTGGACATGGTCTGTGACTGCAGAAGTGTCAGGATTCCCCATTGCACAGCCATCTTGCTGACTCTTCAGAAGAAGGTGTGTGTGGAGGTACATGAGGTCCCTCCAAGGTCTCCTCTCACCCTCCTTCATTCCAGGGCTCTGAGCTCTGACCTGCTTCAAGTTTGAGAACTGGGTACCAAGGCCGAGAGTCTGTCCTAGTGACTCAAGTCACTAGGACACTGCTGTTCATTCACAAGATGTACAGCTTTTCCACTTCAGCAGATCGCCTGTCTGTTTGATTCCTCAGGACACAGTGGTCAAATTATCAAACCCCTAACAACTCAGTAGACCAAACCTCCTATGACTGTCTCAGTTATGCTGCCCTTACAGTACCCAGGTCCACAGTGTCTTAGGGAGTCAACACCACTCACTTGTCCTACAGTACCAGGCACCCAGTGTCCTGGGGACTTAACACCACTGCACTGCTCTTGCCATTGAGACTCCTGTCATCTCTGGTAAGGTCAGGGAGCCCAGCTCCATGGAAGCAGTTTCTCTGTTATTTCCATCACAGTCATGGTGAAGGGAGTATCCCCTGCATGCTCCTGAAGGACAGAACTGGAGGATGCTAGAGCTGGTTTTACATGTAAAAATCCACTTAACCTTTCATTCTTTTTTGGATAGCCCTCCCTTACCCTTACCTGAAACATTTTTCTCAATTCCTGGAGACGTTCCTGGTATTGAAGGCATAAGGCCAGGGATGGCCCTAAACACCCTGCAACACACACAGAATGTGCCCCCAAAAATGTCCTGCTCAGAGTGTCAGCAGTGCTCAGATTGAGAATCTCTGCTCTACACTATAGTAAGGAACTTCTGAAACTTGAGTATCACTCAGCATGGATCTCCTTTGAATCTGGAGTTCATTCAGTCAGGCAAACTGAGACACGCCTATGAGTTCAGTGTTTTAGATTTAACCTGTAAGCGTCCTCCTGTCTCTGGGCTATTTCACATAGCAGAATGTCCTTCAGATTCGTTCATGTTGTTGCAAATGACAGGATTTCTTTTTTAAGGCTGAATAGTATCCCTTTATGTACATATCCCATGTTCTATAGATCCATTTATCCTTTGGTAGACACTTGCATTAGTTCCCTGTCTTGGCTGCTGTAAATAGTGCTGCAATAAACATGGCAATGCAAATATCTCTTTGACATTCATTTCATTTGGATAAATACCTAAGAGTGGGATTGCTAGATCATGTGGCCAGTCCATTTTAACATTTTAAGGAACTCCATACTGCTTCCATAATGTCTATACTAATTTTCATTCCTGACAGTACACAGTGTTCCCTTTTCTCCATATCTGACCAAAACTTGTTATCTTTAGTCCTTTCAGTAATAGCCATTCTAACAGGTGTGAGGTGATATCTCATTTTTGGGTAATATCTTACTAGCTTGCATTTTTCTAGTGATTAGTGTACCTGGTTGTTTTTTCTTGCTCTTGAGTTGAGTTTGCTATGCATCCTGGATATCAGCTCCCCTCAGAGGAAAGGTTGGCCGATGTGGCTCCTGTTCTGAAGGTTCTCTCCACTCTTGACTATTTCCTTTGCTGTGTACAAACATTTTAGTTTACTGTCACCGATTTGTCTTTCTGTTTTTGCTTTTGTGTTCCTATCCAAAAGTGTCATTGCCTATACCAACGAATGCTATGGAACTTCTCTTCTCTTCTTCTAGTAGTTTTAAATCTTCAATCCATATGGGGTTGAGTTTTTAAATACAAAGATAAAGATCTAGATTCATTCTTATGCATGTGGATATCTACCAGTCCCAATCCCATTTGCTGAAAAACTTCTCTTTTTCCCATTGTGAATTCTTAGCATCTTTGAATCAGTTGACCACGAATGCATGAATTTATTTCTGAACTCTGTTCTGCAGTACAGTGTGGTCTTTTGTTGCCACACAATTTTGATTACTTTAGCTTTGTAGAGTATTTTAAGTCAGGTGGTGTGGCCTCCAACTTTATTCTTTTTGCTCACCATTGCTCTAGCACATTTGTGATATATTCACTCTTCTTCTTCTGAAGAGGATTTCCTACTCAATATTAGTATTGAATATTAACAATATCTCATATTAATATTAGAATTCCTAGCCAGAGAAATAAGATAAGAGAAAAGAACAAATGGGATTCACGTATCCCTGTTTTCAGATGATGAATTTTAGGATTAAATTTTGTATTTTTGTGAAGAATGATATTGGGATGTTGATGGATGTATCTTTGAATCTTTGGATTGCTTTTGGTAGTGTAGCTATTTTCATGATTTTAATTCTGCTGATTCATAAATGTGGGAGGTCTTTCCATCTTCTTGTGTCTTCAATTTTCCTTTCAAGGTTTTATTGTTTTCATGGTTGTAGTCTTTCATAGGTATTTTTGAAGCTGTTGTGAATGGAATTGTTTTTCCTGAATTCTTTCTCACCCTGTTCATTGTAGTTATATAGAAAAGCTACTGATTTTTTGTATGTTGATTTTTATGACCTACTACATTGCCAAAAGTGTTTATCAGGTCTAGGAGTTTTTTGGTGGAATCTTTAGGGTTGTTTTAAGTATAGAATCATATACTGTATTACATTGAGGTTCATTCCTTCTATTCATCATTTCTTTGGACCTTTTAACATAAAAAGATGTTGAATTTTGTCTAAGACTTTTTTTGAGATAATTATGTAATTTTTATCCTTAATTCTGTTTATGTGCTGTACTACACTTACTGATTTATGTATGTTGAACCATCCATACATTCCTGGAGTGAAATCACTTCATCATGGTGTGTGATCTTTTTAATATGTTGTTGAGTTTGGTTTGCAAGTATTTTATTGAGAATTTTTGCATCTATATTCATTAAAGA